ATGTATTATAAGACGTGACAGAAGTGACAGTTATTTAGAGGAAGTATAGTCAGATTCACCAGTTCACAATGATAAATTCTTGAAAGCTCTTTGGAAAAGTATAAACCTTTCATAGTTTATAATGTCTGTAATGAGAAAGTTACATTGTTCTACAGTTTGGGCATTTTGTGCAAGCTTCCCGCATTTGTGTTTGCTGTTCTTAAAGAAAAAAAAAAAATTTTTTTTATTAGTTTCAGTTGTACAAAGCAATGTAATAGGTATACATTTCACCCCTCACAAGTGATAACTCCCCTCCCCCAATCTGTTGCCCCCCTAACATCGTATATATAAAGGAAATATTTTAAAAAAAATTGCTGTGTTGGGGTGGCCAGTTAGCTCAGGTGGTTAGAGTGCAGGCTCATAGAACCAAGGTTGCAGGTTTGATTCCCACAGGGGCCACTGTGCTGCGCCCTCCACAACTAGATTGAAAACAACTACTTGACTTGGAGCTGATGGGTCTGGGAAAAAAACACACTGTTCCCCAATTAAAAAAAAATGCAGTGTTCATATTACTATAATTCAACAACTAAGATAATTTATATTATTTATTAGTGGTAATGTGACTAAAATAATGAGCGTGGCTAATGGGTCACATGAAATCAGCATCAGAAGTACATGTTTGTCAAAAAAATAAAAACAAAACCCCGCCACTTGATTTGAAGTTTAGAGCAGCCTGAAATAACATTTGTTTTTTATTGTATTAATTCAGTGTTATTTAAATATGTTTAATGTTCCTTCTCTTTTCTCCAGGGATAAGTAGTAAGGAAAAAAATTCAGTTATTTTTCTTGGAGAAATATTAAAATTTGTGTCTGGCTTAACACATCTGACCTTACACTCTTCAGAGGAAGTGAACACATGTTCTATGAGTAATCCCCCAGATAAATCTGCAGCCAAACAAAGAAGCAGTAAGATCAAATTCCAGTATTTTTTCTCCACTGAAATAAAATTCAAAAATTACATAACTGACTTATGGTCAGTTATGGGCTGGTGGGGAGTATCTGGGAGAGGAGTAGGAGAAGCTGACAGTGATGGTGGTCATGATGGAGCTGAAGGAAGAGTTGGTGATGTTGGAATGTTGATGAGAGTATGGATTGCTCCCTGTGATACCCATTTTGAAAGTTATGTTTTCAATAGTTGTTCTGCCCCTTTTGTCAATTCTGCCTTATGAAAATGAGTAATAGGTGGTATAGGCTAGCTGCAGATCATTATTCTCTCCAGTGTACAAGGTTAAGCAGAAAACTTGGGGGATATTATTCCTGACCCTATTTGTACCCTTTTTCCCTTAAGAGCTCCTGACCCAGAAGAAAAGAAAAATCATTTGAGGGCTATAGACTAATAAAAAGGATTTTTTTTCTTTAACCTAAACAAAAAGAAGGCATTCCATTTATTTGTTTTGAAAATTTGAAAATGGGAGCATAAAACCGTTTTAGTGTAACTGCTGACCTCTGAGGGAAAACTATGCCCTGGGGTGTACCCATAGTGAATAGAACAGCATTACCCTTTGGGCCAAATGAAACCGCACCAAGAACTAACCCAGGTCTTCTGTCTGAGACAGAGTAGCCTTTGCTCTAAGTCAGCGTTTCTCAAACTCGGCGCTGTTGACATGTAGGATGGATGTCTTTATTCTAGGGGGCTGCCCTGTGCATTGTAAAGTGTTTCAGCAACATTCCTGGCCTCTACCCACTCGATGCCAGTAGCACCCCACCTCCTCCAGTTGTGATGACCAAAAATGTCTCTAGACATTCGCAAATGGGAAGTAAAATCACTTCTGTGGGGGCCTCCTCACTAGCCCAGTTGAGAACCATTGCTCTACGTGTATTAGGAGATTTGTTGATACAGAATATTTTCCAGATTTTAATTTTAACTTTAAAATATTTTGTCATGTTTTAAGTATTTTGGTGTAGAATAGGCTTTACTTTTAAGAACTGTATTAATGAACTGGGAGCACATTTTCTAATTTGGGGGTAAAAGTGAGGACAAGGTCATTGATATGAAAATTCACCATTATGACCTTTGAATGCCTAGGACAGTGTTTTTCCAGACTGCAGATGGGGAGGGACCCTTCAGTGAGTCAGAAATGTACATGCAAGAGCATACACTCATAAGGGTCACAATGTAAGATGTATTTCTTACTTTGGAATAACAGAAAAACATTTGAAAACTGCTGGCCTAGTGAATATGTATCAGCCCAGTGATCCCTTTCAAGCTGGAATATTCTAAACATTTACTTTATAGTAGTAGGTGTTTGGCCAGGCCAGCTAAGCTATTTAATTAGTTAGGTTAAACTTACCAGATTATCTTTGAAATATGAAACATTCAAACTTGTTCATTGCAGTCGATTTGAGACTTTCTTTTAACTTTGGTTTCTGGTGCATATCATCTTGTTTTCGAGAGGAGGAAGCTCTGACCTCCATCACATATTTTAGAACATTCTTGGCATGTTACTTTGTGGACTGTTCCTGCCCGCCCCCTACACAAGATACTGAAAAAAGACAGTTCCATTTTAATTGTTTTCTTCATCAGCATGCACACAGAGGTCCTGTTTTTCATCAGTTGGTATTGTGTTAAATTTGTAGAAAATTACGCTTTATGGAAGAAAGGGCAAAAAACGTTTTGCGTATTTTTTGAGACCTTAACAAATATAAACATAAAGACATCTAAAAATTACTCCTGACAACCTGCTTGTACTCTTTCTGTAAAGTTCATTTTAAAATCATAACCTTAAGTTGAATTATAGCTTATGGGGAATACATTAAATGCAACAGTCTGCCATCACTAAGTCGTGAATTCAGCTGTTAATAGGGAATTCTTGGCTTTCTGAAAGCTATCAACACTTCCAATCCTTAAAAATCTGCCTTAGTTTCTGTTTACTAAAGAAAATGCATTTATATTTTGAGTTATTTTGTTTATTCAGTGGCTACTTTTAAAAGATTGAAACACTTGTAGAAAGCAGGTTTTTATCTTTTCAATAGCAAGAGAACATTTCAGATTAGAGTCATAATGTTAGAAACTCTGTCTTAGAATAGTTGTTTTTTCTCTAAGGAAAAAATGTTAATGATTGTTCAAAAGTTATTTATGTAACAATTCATTTATTTTCACAGTGAAGGTTTTTATATCCCTGTGTTTTCAATTTAGATGATATCCAGTAGAGATATTCAAGGTATTTTCATGGTAGTTTCAGGGAAATTTTGTGGTTATATATTTTTTTCCCCCTCCGAGTTGTATCACATTTTAAGTTTTATATTTTCAAAAGATCAGTGAGTGTATCACACAAGAACTCACATGTTCATAGTGTCCTTATATATTATTATATTATTGAGCTGCTATGTCTGTTCTTATGTGTGGGGTGAAAGCAGGTATAGAAAATAGGTGAAGTTTAACATTGATTAAAAGCTAAGATTGATTATATGAGAAATTGGATTAGGGAGCCAGATTGCTAGTACTGACCTTTAGAAGTAGAATAAGTAACAATGCTAGTTTGGATTTGAGAATAAAATTTCTTTATCAACAAAGGATATGAAATATTGTCATCAGAACCTAGATACAGAGTTGTTCCTTGATTAAAGTTAGCTTTAAGAGGGTCGGCCGAGTGGCTCAGTTGGTTAAGAGCTGGCTCAAGAGTGCGAGCTCTGAGCAACAGGGTCACTGGTTCGATTCCCGGCCCGAGCTGAGCTGAGCTGCTGCAGAGCTGCCAACAGGCAGCAGGATGGCTCAGCTAAAAAAAACCATAAAAACAGTTAGCTTTAAGACTAGTTTGAAATTATTTTCCCATAGGTTAATATACAGCTTCCTTATTCATTCCATTAATAAACATTTATTTTGCAACTACTGCTTTCTATATACTGTGTTCTTCTTCATAGGCCTTTAAATCTTTCACCTGTTCTAGTAAATGATATTGGCCCTACATTGTTCTTAAATAATAAATCAAGATAATGGAAAATTCCATTATAGTCATCTGTATCCATATTGAGGTTAAAACCCAGTAGTGTCACTTTCAATATAGTTATTTTGTGTAAGTACTGAACTATTCCAAAAAATGATTATTAATAGCTCTTTTGAAGGAGAAAATACTATCATTTTAAAAGGATGTATTCATCTTCCTGTTAGAGATTTATTTGAATCTCATCATTAAGGAACGCTAAATGGTACAGTTGGAGTAACAGCTGAACTCCTTCAACATTACATTCCTCCTGCTCAGTACAATAACTATTTTACTTTTACAAACAATATCTTAAGTTACCTGCATTATTGAAGAAATTTCTGGAGCAAATAATGTAGCTACCAAGATATGAAGGTCATTTTTTCCTAATCTTCAGTAAGCCATTAAACTGTTACATTTTTCTCATCATTCCATAGACAAAAATGAGGCTTTTGGAGAAGAGATTACTAAAAAGTCAGTTCAGTAGACTATAAAATTAAACTTAATTAAATATTACTTTAAGGCCTTCAAAAAGAATGCCTTGCAGTGTGTAATATGGTCAGTAATTTAGTATACAGTGTTTTTAGAAATCATTCAACTTCTCACAGATTTTAAAAGGGATTTTTAATATTATATTTGTAAATAAATAGATGAAGCTGATCATATAATTTTATAGTTTATGTTTACTTTAAACAATTACTATTAATTGATAACTCCTTTAAAGATTGGATTTATGAAATGTATATATAATTATTGCCAAGTTATGTTTACTTCCATTGCAATTCAGATTGGCAAGTTCGTTGAACTCAGAAATTATAAAGGTGGAATCATTGATGATTCTGACCTAATTTGGCTTCTCTTGGCTCCGGTGTGGAGGTATACTAAGAACTATGTCTTCTGTTTTATTTTGTGTAAGGAAAAGTATTGGTGGTATAAAATATCTGATAGTACATGTATTTTTAAATCATCACAAAAAAGTCCTAATTACTTGTCAATAAAAGATATAAGAATAATTTATTGTTCTTTTTAACTTTTTTAAAGGTGATGGATGTGGACACACTGTCCTGGGCCCTGAAAGTGGAACCCTTACATCTATAAACTACCCACAGACCTATCCCAACAGCACCGTCTGCGAATGGGAGATCCGTGTGAAAATGGGAGACAGAGTGCGAATCAAATTTGGTGACTTTGACATTGAAGATTCTGATTCTTGTCATTTTAATTACTTGAGAATTTATAATGGCATTGGAGTTAGCAGAACTGAAATAGGTAGGAAATTTTCTTGTAAATGTACATGTACTACATCATTACCTCGAGTTTTAAAGCGAAGGCAATTTTTGATGCTTAACATTGTATAAATGTGCTGTATAGGATGTTATGTGGGAAATTATTGAAAACGTGGAAATCTCACATTTGAATCTTCTTTTGGGAAGAGAAGATTCTTGCCTGTTTATTTACTTTTCTAATAAGCCTGTGTTTGGTACCTTTGCAAGAAGATGCCACTATACCACTTCTAAGGAGAAGGAAGTTAATCTCATTTTTTTGTTTTTCTTTGATCATTTTATTTGCAGTTGAAGAATACAAGTATAATTCAAGCTTAGGAGGCAGTATATCATGGTGACTAGGGCATGGGTTTTGCACCCAAACTTCCTGGTATTAAATCCTAACTCTGCTGTTAGTTGCTGTGTGACCTTGGGCAAGTTACCTGACCTCTCTATTTCCTCACTTTAAAATAGGAAAAGAACTGGTACTTGTAAAGCACTTAGAAAAATACCTGACACATAATCTATGCTTTGTAAATATTAGCCGCTAATGTTATTCTAAGCTAAGAGCAATGGTCGTCAATTATGGCTGCATATTAGTCACCTTGAAAGACTTCCAAATGATACTATGTATACCTGGTCTTCATTTTAGACCAGTTGAATCAGAATTGATTGAGTGGAACCCATGCCTCAGTATTCTAAAAGCTTCCTGGTATAATCTACCTTGTAGTCAAGTTGAGAACCTTTGGCTTAGAGATCAGTACCTTTCTCTTAAGCAGGAAAGGTGGAAAATTTCAAAAGGCTGTTTTGGTGAACTAACATCATAAAATAAAGAATTCTTGAATTCTCTGTGAGTTTATTTGGAAGTATTTATTGATGCAAGTGTGTAAAATGCCCTTTAGAACTGTCCTTGGAACCCAGTATCCTGTTCTTGAAGCATCATGTTCATCCTCTGGCCTCTTCTCCATCTCTAATCAAATCCTTCGTCTCTTCTCTACTTTTTGGTTTCTCATATACGAGAGGACCAATTCCTGACCTGCCTCCCTGGCTGCTGACTGATAACCTCTGTTGTCTCAGTCAGTTCTTGATTAACCTGGTAGCATGATCACCATGAGCAGATTGCCATGAATATATATATGGTCTTGGATAAACTTGTAGGAACTCAAATCACCTAAAGATCTAGAAAACACTATTACTGTAACACTCATAGAAGACAAGTGGATATTGAATGCCTTCTCAGGTGATGTAGTAGGGAGTAAATAGTACCACCCGAGCAGTCTTGCAGCAACAGGGAAAGAAAGTGAACCACCGTCTGATCAAGCCCTTAGCAGATCACAGGAAATAAAGGAGCTAGAGAAACACATTATACTTGTATCAACTGTAAAGATTATGCAGGTATACCTTGTTTTATTGCACTTGACAGATACTGCATTTTTTACAAACTGAAGTCAAGACCCTCTACCAGCAAAAAGATTCCGATTCACTTGAGTGTGCCACTCACTTTATTGCAGTGGTTTGGGTATCTCCGAGGTATGTCTGTATATAAATGGTATTTTATAAAAAGAAAGGAAAGTATAGGAAACTGTTATACATGTTCCAAAAGAAATGTGTAGACCGTATTTGGATCTTGGTTCAAGCTAACCAAATGCAAGAAGATGTTTTTAAGATAGAGAAATTTTAAGAGGAATTGACATTTGGTAATACTAGTCAAGAATGACTGATTTGGGTATGGTGATATTATAACTTTTTTTTTT